GGGACTTGCAGGAGGCAGCTGATCCATGATTCTCTCTCATCATGGATGTTTCTATCTCTCTCTCTCTCCCTCTCCATTCCTCTCTGAAATCAATAAAAATATATTTAAATAAATAAATAAATCTCCCTTCCACCCTGGCCCACAGCCACCCAGTTTCTCAACTTGTATCATTCCAGAGATATTTCATAGTGCAGCAGGGTTAGATGACTTGGAATGTGAGAATTGCTAAGGACTTTGAATGGAAGGCTCGCTGGTACTACAATAACATCTGCCCCTATTTTCAACTGAGGAAACCTGTTTCAGGCCTGAAGTAAACAAGCCACTGGCCAAGCCGCATGGAGATAAGAGACAAAGTTCATATTCTTGGAATCCATCCACCTCCCGCCCCCACCCCGAACACACACACACACACCCAGAGCTCTAAACAAAGGTGACTCGGGTAATGTCGTTCCCTCTGCCCTCTACACTCTCCACCAGCCTTCCCCGTCCCTAGCTAATTTGACTATCCATATTCATTTTATAATCAGTTTGTCTCTAAAACCATCTCGCTGGAATTGTGGGATTGTGTTAAACCTACAGATCAATTTGCGGAGAATTGGTATTTTAACAAGATCGAGTCCTCCAAACCATGAACACAGTATGTCTGTCCAATTATTTTAGATCGTCCTGGATTTCTTTCTTTGGTGTTTTAGTTTTCTGTGTGCCGATCCTATACATGTTTTGTTAGTTTTCTACCTAAGTATTTCATTCTTTTCAGATCAAATGCAACTGATATGGATTTTCGTTGTTTTGTATGTGTGTGTGTTTTTATAATTTTAGTTTCCAATGATTTGTTGCTAGGATATAGAAATACAATTGACTTTTGTGTGTTGACCTTGTATCCTGCAACCTTGCTGTTTTATTATTTCCTACTTTTTTGTAGATTCCCATAGGGTTGTCTACGCAGACAATCATGCCATCTGCGAATGGGGACAGTTGCTCTTTCTTTCCCATCTGTACGCCTTCTATTTATTTTTCTTGCACTCGTTAGCACTTCCAGTAGGATGGTGAATATCAGTGGTGAGAGCAGATGTCATTACTTTGTTCCTGTCTTGGGGGAAAGCAGTCACTCTTTCACCACTCTGTTAGCTGCATCTATCTATACGTGTTCACTGTAGATTTTTTTTGGTAGAAGCTCCTTTTCAAGTTGAAAAAGTTCCCTTCTCTTACTGGTTTGCTGGTAGCATTTATCATGAATGAATGTTGAATTTTGTCGAATGTTTTTTCTGCATCCACTGACATGATCATGTGGTTTTTGTTAAGCCATTCGTATGGTGGAATCAATCTATTGATTTTGGAAAAGTGGAACAGCCTTTTGTTCCTGGGATAACTTACAATTGGTTGTGGTGTGCTGTTCTTTTTACATTTAATGTTGTTGGATCTGATTTCCTAGATGTTTTTTTTGTTGGTGGTGTTGAGGATTTCTGGGTCTGTAGTGTTCTTTTCTTGAACTGTCTTCAGCTGGTTCTATAAAACAGATGTGTACTATACACTTTTCTGAGGTCTTGGATGATAATTTTACTATTTTTAATCATCATGAAACCTGAAGAGTAGTTTTTTATCTTTGCTTTTCTGCTAGACTTTGGTTACAAGTCCTTGACCAGGAAGACAGCTTCCAAAGATAACAACAATCTTCCTAAAGGAAAATGAGGCTGTTTTACAAGGAGCCACAGTGGCTCTGGGAATGCAATGCAGTAAAACCCACTACTTTACCACCGTCACCTGCAAAGCCCCTCCCCTGCCCAGGCACATCCCCCAGAGAGTAGGACCCATGAGGGGACTGTGCTGATTGGCTTTGGATGGAAACAGGCCATGGTTTCCATCAAATAAAAGATATAGTATTACCCCACCCTGAATGCAAATACTCATATCTGTCTCTGAGTTACCCAGTAAAGCACCTATCAAATATTAACCCCTTAATCCCTACAATTCCTAAAATGCTCAATCATTACCACCCACATACTTACTGAGGAAGCCAAGACACAACAAGGTTAAAAGATTTCAAAGTCAGCAGAGCTAAAATTTGAATTTAAACACCTATTACCCGATTTGTTAGGAAAAGTCCTACAAAAATGCAATGCAACAGTCAGGTCAATCAGGCATGGGAGGGGCTCAAGAAAGGGATCCAAGGCAAAAGAGTTCCCTGAGGGGTCCTTTTCAGAACTGAAATGCTGGTTCTGCTTCTGGAACTTTTTGTTTATTTTGTAAATCCTCACCCAAGGATATTTTTCCATTGATTTTCTGAGGGAAAGAGGGGAGTGGAGGGGAGAATAAGAAAACCTGGGGGAGACCTCTGATTCTGCATTTCTTACAAGCTCTCTGGTGCTGGAGATGCTGCTGACCACTAGGAGTAGCAAGGATCTACAGGTTGCAATGGACCACAGACCACAAGAAATGTCTATAGAAACAGAAATGAAAAAAAGGCAAACTTCTCCCAAAAACCAAAATGAGGACTTTTCCATATTTCTTTTTCTATTTCTTTTTTTTTTATTGATTTCAGAGAGAAAGGAAGGAGAGATAAAAACATAATGATGAGAGAGAATCATTGATCAGCTGCCTCCTGCACACCCCACACTGGGGATCGAGCCCAAAACCCGGACATACGCCCTTGATCAGAATCAAACCTGGGACCCTTCAGTCCACAGGCCAACACTCTATCCACCAAGCCAAACCGGCTAGGGCTTATCCATATTTCTTGGTGGAATCCTGAACCGTGTAACACCTTAGAAATATCTTCAGCTTTATTTTCCAGTTTAAATTTAGATTTCAATTTCTTGGAGGGTTTTTCCCTTAAAAAATCCTGATTATTTATTTATTTATTTATTTATTTATTTATTTATTTATTTTTATCAAGGGCTGAGAAGCCAAGTACATGGAAAACTGGTTTGTTGTGTTTTTTGTTGTTGTTGTTGTTTTTAAATTTTGGTATATAAAATTGATTTCAGAGAGAAAGGGAGAAATAGAAACATCAATGATGAGAGAGAACCATTGATGGACTGCTCCTGCATGCCCCCTATTGGGGATAGAGCCCTCAACTATGATCATGTGCCCTGATGGAGACTGAACCCTGACCTCTGCTCAACCACTGAGCAAAACCCGCGGGGCAGAAGACTATTTCAAGTTGCCATACCTTCCAAGCAGGTTCCCATCCTTCACTCACCTCCACATGACCTCTCGCTGTTTAAACTCCAGAGGTGAGACAAAAGGCAGGGCTAGGTGAGATGTTAGGAAGTTCTTCCAGATGCAAAGCTCTGCACCAAGCATGTCAAACTCGTGGCCTTCGGGCCGCATGCCTTGTTTATTTGGCCCATGTCAGCCTCTGAGTTTGACATGCTTGCTTGCACACCAAAATAACACCTTAACATACCACTGTCTCCCATTTCTGGCCTTAGCTGACCAAGTTTCAGCAATGACGTGATAACGGCTGGATAACATTTTATACAAACAACTGGGTTTCCATTTCTTGACCAGATCTTTTGAATGGCAAGTTCTATACTTTCATAAGTCCACAGAGGAAACAAAGCAAGATGCTTAACAAGACCCTATGTTCTACCTGGATCCGAGTTCCTGCCCGGCTCTCTTTTATTTATTTCTGGCTATCTGTGCTGTACTCAAACATTGGCTAGCTGCCTCTCTTTTAAAAGGCAGTGACACACCTCCCCCCACCTCCTCCATTCTCTTTGCTAACACCAATGCCTCACTACTAACCAGCATACCTCTGAGAGCACAGAGCACTGCAGCTTACAGGACTTACAGGAAAAGGTCGGTTTAAAAACTCTGGGAAGGCATAATTTGCTCCTTTTGTCTTTCCTTAGAGCCCTTTGGCAATACCCTCCAGCAAAGCTGCAGAATAAGCCTTCCACCCAGGAGATATAAAACAGTCTGTATCCCGCAGTCTGCAAACACTGGGACCTTTCTTTAAAAGGTGTCCCCACATTATGTGAGTCCCATGGACTCAAGTCAGAAAAAAAGCTAGATCCCTGGAAGAAATAAAATGTGCCTACTTTACCGCTCTCTGAGAAGTCTTTAAAGTTTTGCTGCCGGGCCTGCAAGGGAGGCCTACCTGTGACAGGGGGCAAAATGGGGACAGTTTCCCTGACCTGGAGCATGCATGCCTGTCCACAACAGAGCTAAGCAACTACCCGGAGAGGCCTGTTATAAAGCCACAGAAGCTGCAGAGCTGACAGGCCTCTGCCTCGAACACCCCCTGGAAGCTAAACATAAGAATTCTGAGACATGAGCTCTGCCATAGACAAGTCCAACAGAAAGTTCTCTGTTTCGGTTACCTCCCGAACTGGCTGCCCTCCCGGAGTGATTTAACTCTGGGTACCAACCGGGCGATGCCAGCCCCGGTGCTGGGGCGGGAGGGCGCAGGGATGCCGGTTCTGTGTTTTGGATTCATTAAGGAATCGGACCTCTACTGTTAACAAACTGGAGACGGTTGTGGGCCGATCTCGACTCCAGGGCTCCATCCCACCAACATGTATGGAGCGTCTATCCTATGCCCGGCGCCGGGGAGGAAACCCAGCCCCGGTCCCCAGCGGTGGGAGCAGAAGCAGACAGAGGAGGGTCGTCAGTCGGCAGGGGTGGATGCTGTGCGACCACCTGACACGAGTTGCTAGGATCGGTGGTATCCAGGGGCAACGTGACCCCCCAGGCCAGAGCATTCAGCCGGCTGGCGACGGCGCAGGCGGGAGGGAGCCGCAGGTAGGCCCGGGGGCAGGTGTCCAGGCGGGAGGCGCACACCTGAGGCTGCCGGGCAGAAGCCCCAGGAAAGGGCGGCCCTGGGACCCCGGGCGGGAGGGAGAGGGTGCGAAGAGCAGGGGTCCGGCCCCGCGAAGCGGATGCGCGGCCGAGGCCAGCGGGCCTGCGCCCCGGGAAGGGCGGCGGGGGGGGGGGGGGGGGGAGACGGCGCGCGGCTAGGCCTCCCGCCCGCACCTGGGGCCCCGCCCGGCACCTACCACTTGGGCGACCTTGAGGCCGCCGGGCGCGCCGCGCAGGTAGTCGGGGTCGCAGCGCAGGCCGGCCAGCCCGCGGCGCTGGCTCACCGGCTCGGTGGTGGGCTGGTACGGGCTGCTGGCGCCCGAGATCATGGAGGTGCTCGAGGCCTCGCCCTCGAAGCCGTCCAGCTCCTCGCCGCTCCGCATGCTGCCGGCGGTCCGGGCCCCCGCGCACGGCCGGCCCCCGGCGCCCGGGGCTGAGGGGGCTCAGCGGGGCCGCCGCATCGCCGCCGCCGCCGCCGGACTGCCCGCCCGCCCGCGGCCCGCCCCGCCGCCGCCTCCTCAGCGCCCGCCGCCGGCTGCGGCCACGGCTCGGTCCGCTCGGGCTCGGCTCCCGCCGCCTCAGCAGCGGAAAGGAAAGGAGGCGGGAGCGAGCGGAGAGGGAAGGAGGCGGGAGCCGGCGCGGCGGCGGGAGGGGGCGGAGCGAGTGCCCGCCCGCCGGCCGCTCGGCGGCGCTCCGAGGCCCCGGGAGGCGGAGGCGGCGGCTGGACCGCGGGCTCGCGGGGGGCGGGGCCTGGAGGGGCGGGGCGGGGATGTGGGCGTGGTGGGTGGAAAGGGGGTGGGGCGTTATTAGGCCCCGCCCTCACCTGCCTGCGCGCCGGCGGGGGCCGCGGGGCGGCGCCTGGCGATGCAGGAGAGCCATGGCGGGGGCCGGGAAGCACCCGAGCTGAGGGAGAGGGTCGAGGTCAACCAGGGGCACGGGGGTGCTGTCCCGGGGAGCAGCCTCTGGAGGAAGTGGGTTCTCTGCAGGTAGCCGGGAGGACTTCCCGGTGAGCACGGGGGTGCGCCGCGCCCTCCATCCGGGTGCTGGGACCGCGCGGCCACGGTTGGCCGGACGCAGAATGTGTGCTGGCAAGACCCGGGCCAAGCGCCTGGGCTCCACCAGCTCTGAGGCCAGGGGCAGAGCGGGGCAGGGGTGTGGGGTAGGGGTGAGTAGGGTCGCTTAGGACCGGTCTGCAGGACAGATACACAGTCAATATCTGTCAATAACTACAATGTGAGTTCTGGATCCACCGGCCTGCCCCGGAAGGGACGCTAGCACACAGCAGAGTACCCTCGGTGACCCTCTCACTTACTTGAAAAGGTTTTGCTAATCCAGCCAGGTTAAACACAGGCTTTTGCGCTGGAGGGCATTAATTAGGGACCAATTTACAATTCAAGTGTGAAGCTTATTAAGTAAAACACTGACTTTCTAAGAATCTTTGCTCTTACACGCCACAGTGTGATGGCCCTGAGCAAGGCACTCCGCGGAGGTATTGCTCCCATTTTACAGAAGAGAGGACTGAGGCAGCAGCTTGTCCCAGGACAACACAATTAACTGGTGGGTAGAGTCCAGGTTCCAGCTCTCTTCACTACACAATGTTGCCTAATACACAGCTCAGATGGGCTTGTGAATTCCAAGCTAAGCAGTAAATACCAAAAGGGCTCCCACCTTTTGGTTACCAAAGATGAAACTTAATAATTAGTAATACTCTATTCAATGGGCAAAGATTGGGCACTTAGCTAGGGACTGGAGACTGACAGTCAAAGGTGATAAGCTGTCTCTTTCTCAGGAGGTTAGAAGAGGACACCACCAGAACAAAGGTTTAAACCAAGGAAGCAGCCCTGGCTGGTGTGGCTCAGTGGATAGAGTGTTGGCCTGTGCACTGAAGGGTCTCGGGATTGATTCCTGGTCAAGGGCACATACCTGGGTTGCAGGTTCGACCCATGGCTCTGATCAGGGTGCCAGTGGGAGCCAACCAATTGATGTGTCTCTCTCACATCAAGATTTCTCTCCCTCCCTTCCTCCCTTCCTCCTTCTCTTCCACTCTCCCTAATATCAAAGGGAAAATATCCTTAGGCAAAGATTAATAAACCAAGGAAGCAGAGAACAGAGGGTCCAAGAGAGGGTGGATGCAGCCAAAGAGAGGTGAAGGGGGCAGAGGCCCCTGTGCAGCACGGCTGGGAGTCAACCAGCCCAGAATGGAGCAGCCAGAGACTTCTTCAAAGTGACATTAAGGAAATACTTGGTATACAGCAAAGAAAGATACATAGTTTGGGGAAAGTTTTGAAATAAACTAGTGATAAATGCCTAGGAAACAAGGCAAATATTCATAGATATTAATTGCAGGAAAAATAAAATGATGTATAGAAAAGGATAAGTATGGTAAATCGCATGGCTCAACTGTGAATAATATTTGCATAATTATGATCATGTAAACAATGAATACTGAGCTATCCAAAAGTATGTGGCCACATTAGGAGAGGATGGGGTCCAGATGTGTGCACGTGTGATGGAGAGGGAGGTGGGGAGGGTGTGCAAGAGATTGAAATACTCATCATTCATCAGGGGAGAGCAGTAGATGCTTCAAACTGAAAAACCAGGAGGCAGCAGTGTATGTGTGTTCATCACAAATATAAAGGTAAGGGGTGGGGGCAGGCTAGAAGGGGTCATTCGGAGGGGAAAAAAGGACATACATAATACTTTCCAATAAGAAAAAAATATATAAATGTAAAAACAAAACTAGCTGAAACCGGGTTGGCTCAATGAATGGAACATCAGCCTGCAGACTGAAGGGTCCCAGATTCCATTCCGGTCAAAAGCATGTACCTTGGTTTCGGGCACATCCCCAGTGGGGGGAGGGTGCAGGAGGCAGCTGATCAATGTTCCTCTCTCATCGATGTTTCTAACTTTCTATCCTTCTCCCTTCCTCTCTGTAAAAAAATCAATAAAATATATTTAAAAACAACAACAACAAAACTAACCAGTTAAATTACAAAGTGTTTCCTCTGGAGGCAGGAAATGTAATGGGGGTTTGAGGCCTTGTGGAACTATTGGATTCTCTCAACTATGTGCACTTATAACTTCAATAAAAATAAAATATAAATTAAAAACATTTTTTTAAAAAGGAGCATGAGCCGAAACCGGTTTGGCTCAGTAGATAGAGTGTCAGCCTGTGGACTGAAGGGTCCTGGGTTCGGTTCCAGTCAAGGGCATGTACCTTGGCTGTGGGCACATCCCCAGTGGGGGGGAGAGGGAGGTGTGTGCAAGAGATAGCTGATCCATGTTTCTCCTTCATCGATGTTTCTAACTTTCTATCCCTCTCTCTTCCTCTCTGTAAAAAAAAAAAAAAAAAAATCAATAAAATAAATTTTAAAAAAAGGAGCATGAGAGCTCCGGCCAGCAGAGCCGTGGAGAACAAGCACTGAACCCAGTGAATACACCCGCGTGCGCTGAGCGCTGCTCATGGTGGGATGGGGATTTCCAGCAAAGATGTCATTGAGGCTGTGGCTCCGAATTTCAGCTGATATTTGAAATATGAACAGCAATCATTAGAGAGGCCAAGAGATGGAAAGGGCGGGTGGAAGTGTGTTGTGGGCAGAGGGAATGACATGTGCAAAGGCACAAGCAAAAGCAAAGCACAGCTAAGAGGCTCAGGCCCAGAATTCAAGGGGAGGAGGCCTGGCAGACAGACCTAAGCTGAAAGGTAACCATGGGCCGGTCTCTGCGGGGTTTCCCGGGCCCCGTGAGAGGGGTGGACTCTGAATAAGCGGGAGAGTGGCCTGGTGAGGCCGTTTAGAATGCTCTCTCTCTCTCCACAAGAGGGAGATGGGTTGAGCAAGATTGGAGGTTCTCCTCCAGTGCTTAGTGTTTCCTGTCGCTGGACACTAGCCTAAGTTTATTTTTAGTTCCAAGGACAGACTCAAATTTTTCTACTTTTGCTTTTTAACAGAAGTTCACAGACTTCCAAAAGGCGTTGTTGGGAATCCCATATAGTAACAGTAGGTTAAATGTGGTATTTGGGGGCCTTCCTCAGTGTTAAATTGCAATAGAGCATGAATTGGAGGCTACAGCTGTGCCTCCAGGGCGTTTACAAGAGCTGAAGTCAAAATGAAGATAAATAAACGATAGAGAAGATAAATTAGTGATAAATGAGTAGGAAGCCAAGCCAGCCTTTGGACAGGGCTCCGAGTTTCAGGGCCTGAGCCACATATCAAGGGCTGAGTCAAGGCAACCGGACTCAGAAGAGACTGATGAATAAACCAGATGCTACTTTATTAGCTGCTGCCAGCGGAAAGAGTCTCCCAGCAACTGTAAGGCTGATTCTTATCTCGGTCCCTGAACTCATCCCGACAGTACATTGGCTGTTCCCCGGGATACGCTTCTCTACCTGGATCAAGCCTGGCCTCTTTCCAAGTCCCTCAGCCGCTCAGCTCTGGGCTGGTCTCCTTCCAAGGACAACCACCTCCAAGTGGGGGGACTCCTCACTCTAGCCCCTCTCTGCAAACACTCTGATTCCACAGGCCCATGGAGGGTCCTTAACGTCAAAAGCATTGATCCTACAAGGACTTCAGATTCTAAATTCCAGAAGGGCTGGGAGCAAAACACCATCCCAAACTGTGGTCCTGCAGGCTCTGCCCCTGGAGGCAGTGCCTGATAATGGTGAGGGTGGGGGGTAGCTTTTCCTGTAACTCCAATTAAACAGTAGATCAAATCTACTACTACTTTTAATAAGCTCAGTAATTAGGAGCCCTAAAGACTTCTATCTCAGCAGAAAAATATAAACAGTGGTGGTGAGCCCTAGCCAGTTTGGCTCAGTGAATAGAGCATTGGCCTGCAGACTGAAGGGGCCCAGGTTCAAATCTGGTCAAGGGCACATGCCTGGGTTGTGGGCTCCATCCCATTGGGGGACTTGCAGGAGGCAGCCGACCAATGATTCTCTCTCATCGATGTTTCTATTTCTCTTTTCCTCTCTCTTCTTCTCTGAAAAACATACATTTTTATTTCATTTTTTTAAAATATATTTTTATTGATTTCAGAGAGAAAGGGAGAGGAAAAGAGAGACAGAAACATCAATGATGAGAGAGAATCATTGACCGGCTGCCTCCTGCACACCTCACACTGGGGATGGAGCCTACAACCCAGGCATGTGCCCTTGACTGGAATCAAACCTGGGATCCCTCAGTCTGAAGGCTGAAATTCTATCCACTGAGCCAAACCAGCTAGTACATGGATTTTTTAAAAGGACCACCCCCCCCAAAAAAAAAAAAAAACAACAGTGGTAGTGAAATTGAACATTTCAAGTATAAAGTATATAGTAGGAAGGCCAATTAAGTTTATCAGAAATAATTATCAATATTAAGCATAAACCAAACACCCAAGAAAGTCTCACGTTTAATGTCACATGACTTACAACTTGTTTTGATATGATTCTATTCTTACAAAGCCTTTTAAAGGAAAGGGCCTATATAAACCCCTTCCGTCTGAGGGATTCGACTCAAAAATGTAAAAATAAACAATCCGTTTTGGTGTTCGAAAGCAGCAGATGCCCTTGTCTTCTGTGGGCTCCTCCAATCGCGTCCCCACGTGTCTGGAGGGAGGGGCGGGAGCCGGGGCAAATTCCAGGC